TCTGTTTTTGTCAACACTCAAAAATGCGCCATTTCCGTTTAAAAAAGTTCCAAAGTCGTAATTTAAGCCTGCACGAAATTGCACCCGCTACGCTACGCACATGCAGTTAAATGTATTTTTTATTCCAACTTGTAACTATGTTTTGTAAAAACAAGGCGGTTAGTTAAGGATGCTGATACACGAGCGACTTATTAAATAGGCGGGAAACGGCCATGTTTAATTTACGCTGTACACAAATTCTCTTAATTAATTTAATTATTTGAGAGGTTGAGCTAATACGACGCAAAGATCGTATTTTCATAGTAAAGTAAATTAATTATTCCATTAATTAATCATGTTCATAGTAACTAAATATATATTAAAACAAAAAATATTTTATCAATTTTTCTTCTTTCCTTGAATTTGCTTACTTAAAAACTATTTTCAAAGTATCATACTATTCATACTACATAAGAAATAATACCAAGTATTTGTTTGTGGTAAAGTTTTCATATGAAATTGTTCGTGTATCGTCACCCTAAAGAAAACGATACCATTTTAAGTTATCTGGTTATGCAATCGTCACGTGTTTGTGATTTGTGTTGGAGGCTAATGGTTGAGTTGTTAAGCTTCCTTTAGCCGATTGCGTCAAACGCAACAGGTCGGTGGCTGCTTGCCTTTTGCACTTTAATTATGGTATCCAAGATTTCTGCATTTCAAAGGATTCATCCTAATAAATAGTAAAATTAAATGCAAAGTATCAAGTGATAAAAGTTACAACTTTCCGATTTTCGGATCAAAATCTTTGTAAAACTTATCGTTCTCTCTGTCATTCATCTTTGATAAAACAGAAATAACAATATGGTTTAAACATAGATTTTTGTCTGAGAAAGCTACGATAAATAATATAATAATAAACTGCTCAAAATAATAATTTTGAGCTGACATAAAGAAACTTTTATAATGTTCAATAATATCCAGCAGTTCTTTTAAAATTATATCTCTTGTCTTAACATCTATACACAGATGTCAATTTTGAATATAACTTTCAAACAAGCTAAAGCTAAAATTGATTGCCAAATTTATCCCATAATTAACATTGTCATGGCCACACTAAGATCAATCGGAAGTCACTAAGTGTTGCGCAAACGCACCTAATTATGGAGTCCTTAGTAAAGACTTCCTGCGCACTTAACACATCCTTGCGAAAGTTGACATCTGACCGAATAACTAAAGCCTGGGACTAAATGCATTTTTCATGTACTTTTAGAATCCACTTTATAATATAAAATCACTTAAAGTAAAGTATATAAGAAGATATTTACACTTTTCACACGTGGAACTTAATTGCTTACAAATTGTAGTCACGTCATTTAAGGAAGATTTGACTAACCGATTATGGAAGGTAGAGATAACGCCATAGGTTTAAAGTGAATACACTTTAGTAAAATCACATAGATGGATGGATGGATGATAGAAGTATCATCGGAACGGGTCAACGGAAATTGATGAAATTTTTACACAGTTGTAGAATATAGTCTGGAAGAACATACAGGCTACTATGTTTATTTAATTCCGCGCGAACAAAGTCGAGGGCGATAGCTAGTACTTGTATAAAATCACAAATTTGATTAATTAGGGTCTTTAATGTAATGTAATAAGGTATTTGAAACGAGTTAAGCGATTATAATGATATCAAACTAACTCGTTGGACTTACACAACTATTATTTTGTATTTGTTTTTTATTAGATAAATTATTGTTAAATATCATAAGTTCCTGACGAGTTATTTGTTTAGTAGCGCTGTAGTTGTAACTTATCTGTGCATAAATTATTCATAATGAAAATAGTTCTATATTATGTTGTCACGATTAAATAGTGTAGGTTTTTGTGTGTACAACCAATTATTCCCGGAAACTAACAAATGCGATGCTTTTAACGAAAGTCCAATGTTGACAGATCCGTAAAGCGTGAACGGGACTAAATATTAGTTGTTTGTAAGGTGACAAGCAATTATGGTCCTTTATTGTATAAAATAAGGGTTACTCTTGCTTAATAGTTACGAATTATAGTGTTACTTGTCACAAGTTAGACCACATAATATAATAAAGCGGAATTTTACGGAAGACTTGTTTGTTTTACGCGCGCGCTGGCTTGCACAAAACACTTTTGCTGTGAATTTTAACAAGACGGACGATTATTTTCACAGGTCCTTGCATTTTAAAGCGATACCACATTTTTTTTAAAATTCTATGTTTAAGTAAGCCGATGGATTTGATATGATTTGTTTGTTCACATTGTTAGCGGTGTGTTATCGTTTTTTAAACAGTGATTGAATATAATATATATTTAACATTTAAAAACACATTAGTATTCACAATTTTTTTTCATGAATATAATTTATTTACTTTAAATTAAAAAGGTAAATTAAAAATTATTAGGGCAACCGCGCCGAATACATAGTTCTAAAGATGGGCAAAAAATTTTATATACGGGTACATAATGTTAAAGTTATTTATTAAATGCTGCCATTGAAAGTATCTTATGCAGTATCCACAATATGGAATATCAATTCCTACGTGTCATAAAATGGTCTGGATACGTGACATTTGACAAAAGTTCTCTGGACGTCCATTTAACTGGTATAATGCAATGCGCGGGCAAACGTTTAAGAATGATAAATCGCATGATATTTCTAAGGACGATTCGTTCCGATCCCGCGATATACGACAGGACAAAAGAACATAACCAAGTCGCTATAGCCGGCTAGTTCTATTCGCTGTATCGTACGATGCGGTAATAGGGCACCGTGAAATCGGTACTGGTGTAACGAATCGCAGAAAAATTTCGGTTTTTCGGTTATTTCTTAGGGATTTGTACGGGCTTTCTTCGACAATTTGATACGCTGAACGGGTGTCAGTATTACAAACACATGTCTTTTGATTTCAGCGTATTTCGGCATTGAGCGGTTCGCGACGGCTTTTCATTTTCGCGAGCGATTTCACGCCATGCGACGCGCTACATTGATGTTGACTTACCTTCCGTCACAGCTGCTCGTTATTGATTTTATTGCCATCATTTCTTGTAATTCTCTAAACTAGCTTTCGGTTTTTTGTCCCTCCATACATATGTCTTGACGTCCAATACCATTAGTTATGTATTTAACCAGCCAGACGTGAGGTACAATATTCCCCCTTATGTAGTACTTAATTTTATAAATAAGCAGAATTTTCACTACTGCTGGAAAGCGATCCTTGTAAAAAAAAATCATCTATGCAACAATTCATTAAATGATTAAGTCTTTGTCTCAAATCTAATAAATTAAAAACTATATAATATGTTTCGACTTAGCTAGATTTATATTCGCATCTATAATATATTACTGGGGATAATAAGTTTTCATTAAGTCAAAGGTAGACAAATTATATTAACGCAAGCTTATTGATGTTAATTTTAAAATTATGGTTCACACATTTCATATTAATTTGTACACCTTTAAGAAATAAATTTTATATACAAATGGATGCAAAATGATGTTTAACATGGAAAATTGGTTTATTTATATTTATATATTGGTATATTAGACTACTATTTATTTGGATTACATTTACTTTTTTACAATAATGTTATATGGATTACCTAAGCACCTAATTAAATTTGAAGTTGAAAATAATGTGTTCGTTATGTGGAAACGTTGATGCTACTAAACTGTTTTTATTTACCATTATATACAACATGAGTTATATATAATACATTATATATAACTCATGTTATCGAAAAGTAATATAGGCATATCCTTTAGTATTAAAATTTTCCTAGAATTTTAATGTAGAATATCAATAATAGATTGAGCTGAATATATTTTGTATTTGATTATACTTTAAAAGCTATATCAATTAATGTTAGTTCCTAAAAGTTAGTTAGCTAAAAGTTAGTTCCCGCGATGTAAGTACTTTTAGGAAGAAAATCCGACACTGTGCGTATCGGCGCAACACTAGCCTTATTAAAAGATCAACGTTTATGTCCCCTTACTAATCATTGTGACATTTGATTGGTTAACGAAAGCGCGCCATTCGCGCCAAAGGATCCTAACTAATGTCTAAAAGTACTAACTTTCTCAGATATCTCTAACAGTCATATCAGAATTCAATGAGATTACCTCGTTTTTTTAATATGAGTAGGAGCTAACAAGTGCCAGGAACACCTAGGTGATCATTGACCATGGACATCGGAAAAATAGGTAGTACAGATGCATTGCATGGCTTTTAGTCTTAGTTTTGTCACGAATATAACTTAATGAATACCGCAAGTAGTCTCATGGTTAACACCACGGGACGATAAGGTGGTTATGTAATCGGATCTGCTATTGAATGTTTGTAGATTGATAGATTCTTCAGTAATACTAGTAAAATAAGTAGATAATCTGTCTAAAAAACTATTTTTACACAAGAATAATGAAAGTAATGTGTAGATTTTGTTGCTTTTTTTTGTTATTTTATTTTCAAAATATTAAGTACAAGCATTCATGGTATCCATATAAAGTTTCATTTAAAACTTATTATGGATAACTCGTTTGTGTATGTCTTCTTGATAAATATTATTGAGGTAAACAAATTATTTTGGACTATTGCAACTGACGTTAAAATTGATTTAATTATTTTTATTTTTTAAATTACAATGTTCATGTATATGTATATTTTTTCAACTAGACAAAACCTATACCTTTCAACGTCATCAAAGGTAGTGACCAAATAAAATATTATGAACAATTACCAAGTAAATTAAAAACTATCTCTTTTACCTACTGGTTTTTATGTTGAAAATTACAACTATAGGAATAAAACGAATAAATTATTTTAAAATTAAAACTTTATTAAGATTCAGAGATCAAATGAAAGTCTTGAAAATCCTTAAAATATATCAGTCTACAGAAATAACTTATTCTTAACTTAATCTAACACAAATTATAATAAGAATTGACACAATGGAAGAATAATAAGTTTAAATTAAGTAATCAATGTCTTATACTAAAAACATATAATAAGAAAAAAAAGCATGCAATAAAAGTATAAGTTAATCCTAAAAATTAAGATTGGCACGCTCGGCCTACTTTTACTTAATACAAAATTTCAATGAATTAAACAACATAAAAGAAACAGTAATCAAAATTGTCTAAATCTAATCTTAAAATCTATTAAAGCTTTCGTTGAAGATATGTTTACTATTTTCTAAGTTAAATAGCACATTGTGGATGTTCTTAATAGTACTAAAAACCTACAATCAAAGGAAAATTAATCTTATACTAAAATAATACAATTAAATTTCAATTCTAAGTTTCTAGTAATAAACATCCACAGTGAGCAATTTTAATATATCCTTTATAATTTGCTTATAATAAACAATTTAATTGTTATAATAAATCTCTTAAAACTAATTAAAGCTTTCACGTGTATTTTTAAAATCACAGACGAATTCTTACAAACTAATGGAAGACGTTGATTTACGATACAAATATGATTTATTCAAGGATTGAAATGCAAGAGATAACCGGTTATTTGTGCGATGATAAATACAGTGCAGTTGGGCTTTAAAGCTGTCTACCAAAACATGCTGACAATTTACACTGTTATATTAAATCGAACAATTAATTTAAACATATCGATGATGCTTCAATATGATTCCGAGTAGCTAATACAGCTAAGATCACAGAAAATTAATTAATAACAATCACAATTTAGCCAACTGGAAGTGACATGATGCACCATCGATCTAACTATACCTATCGACATATAACTGGCCAGTTCTGACAGAAAAAAAAGATGACACAAACATAATTTAAAAGTAAAAGTTGACATGTAAATGATACTGGTTATCTTGGTCTTAAAATCTTTTTTTACAGTTGTCATGATAGCTGTCAAAACTAACCAGTTATTGTGACAGTGCTAAGTCTAATGGAAGACACGATTGATTATTCTACGAAACGAGCACGCACTTAATCTATACATTGGAAGACATGATTTTGTTTTTCACTGAATTAATAGTACGAAAAATTAAAGCTTCGAATGGGAAGAAAGGATTCGGAAGAGCGGTTATTGGAATTAAAACTAAGGGATAAATATAGATTAATAGCATAATTTACATACGAAACAGTTGCTCTTGATCGCCGAGTAGCAGATTTCGCGCACTTCGTTGGCCATGTTGTCGTTGATTTCCAAAGCTTCGGAGATCAGCTCGAATCTGTTGTTGTTGAGAATGTTCTGGTTCTCTGCGTTATCATTGTCTTCAACAGGCACCGGTTTGACCGGGTCAACTGGGTAGAAGTATTCAGAGAACGGCACCAGAAGAGGTTCCTCAGGATATGCAGTCTTATGCGATGGCAGGTCAGCGCGCGGCGACGTGTTGGATATCAGCTCACCAAGTTTCGTCCAGCACTTATTAAGATTAACTCGCGTCGATGTCGTCACCTTTCGGGGTAATTTGGGCTTTGAGCTCTGAAATTAACAATTAAAACAATCGTAAATTTACAAATTTAAATAATAAGGAAAAAAGATTTAATTTGACTTATCAAACTCTTTTTTTTTCAATTAACATGTATTATTGTGAGTAAATTTATAGGTAGTAAATTTACCTGACGGTTCAAGAGCTTCTTCCAAGGAGAACGAGGCGACACAGCCTCCTTTTGCGGCGAAGGTGATCCATCCTTAGCGAGACACATGTTTATAACTAACTTTACAAGTAATAGTAAACTTAGTGTAATGAATTACGACTACGTATTTACAAGAAGGTAAAAGAGAGCGACATGCACACACGGAGCGGCAGTTAGGAATGATCGAATCAGGAAGGGCGTCGAGCTTTTATACTGGGCCGGGATGGCGCGTGCGGCGCGCGGCGAACGCGGGCGCGGGGCGGCGCGCGCTCAGCACGCGAGTTGGCGCGCGCTCGTCGACTGGTTTTTACCGAGAACTACGAATAGAAGCTTTGACGTGCCGCGACTTAGAATAGTCGACTGGATTGTTTATAAAAGCTTTATTGGTGTCCACTAGCTGGAAAGATAATACTCGTCCCACAATTATACTTTAACAATATAACTCTTTGGAATATCTAATAACACTTTAAGTATGCACAACTAAATAGTTCAAAGAAATATTATTATGCAGCGATTTTATGATTGTAGCACGGCGCACAATAGAGACGTGGTTCGCATAATTGTTTCGACTTTCCGTACGCCGTCGGCGTTTGCTTTGCAAATTCTAGGCGGCATAAGCAACGCAACGCTATGAATCATGGGCGGCAGCTGGCGGTTGGATAGATAAGTTCCGGTGCAGATTTATCATAGTACGCCTGTGTCGCTTCCTGCGATTAAATAGTCTTTATACTACGGCCAGAGCGGCGTTGGCACAGCTCGGCGGTCGCAAATCACGTACTGCGCGCTGATAAATCATTTCCTTCGATCACAGCGAGGATGCACGGACAATTATTTTAATATCCTCAAGGTACATTAATGTTAGCTTTATACAATGTTTTACAATCCTATGTGGTCATTGCATTTGCTTAAACACAATTCGAACTAAGTCGTTATTTTTTTTAATATCTGAGTTCCACGAGTACTAAATTAAATTAAATATTTATACAATGGATGAATAGAGTCGAAGAACTTTAACTGATACTACTGTGTGTAGTTACTTGTGAGAAAAGGGCGCGCTATGCAATAATATTGACAACATTGAACATGAAGGAATGGTTAAATGCAAGACGTATATTTACAAATACGAAATTTATCACCCATGCTTTGCCGGCTCATTTAAAACATGGGCTGAGGGATTATTTTGTTTTGTAGCAAAATGTCTAAGTTACTAAATAATTATCATAATTATTTAATTAATTGACAATATCAACATCCATCTGAAATTCTAATTATGTTAACTGCGTAGCAAAGTGCTACGAAGTTATAAACATTTCGTAGAGTTAAAAACTTCCTGTCTATAAAGTTATAAATCTATCGACTTACTATAATTAATATATTAAGTTATAAATTTATTACATCCATTAATAAAATGTAATACGTAACTCAGTAGCTTTATGTTAATAAGTTAGTCGATACGTGTGTTTGCGTAAATTTAAGTTAAAATAAAGTCTTTGTTTTAGCTTATTGTAATTTTACACCAGTTGGAATTGTGTCATTCTACTTTGAAGTTATTTAACTTAATTAAAAGTCTAAAATAAAACTATTTTTTAGTCTACATTACGAAAAAAATAGTTTTAATCGTGAAAACAATTCTATAATTTTTCTTATAAGAATCTTTATAAAATATTAATTTTACTAACCTAGGTACTACATATCGCAAATTTATAAATATTCCTTTAATGACTTAAAATCGGGGAATCAAAATGTTAGAAATATGTGACATATAAATATATAATAAATTACTACATATTCTATAACTAATAAACAAATAGTGTAATTTCATGTACTATCAAAACATGTTTCCAATAAGAATGATAGACAATCCGTTGCGATATCGACATTAAACTCGCTTAAGAAAAAGTTACCTTACACTCTTAACCAAATTATTCTATTTATCGATAAAGTTATTTACTTTAAATAATAGATATATAAACTGGTGTGTGTGTTGAACGTTTTAAATATTTAACTTCGTTGTATTCTTTGGGATTGTTACCGAACTCAATGTTTTAAAATTATTCAAATAAAAGTCGAAATTAGCTGTTAGTTTTTTTAAGTGTTATGCGGCGATAACAAATTATAATTAGCTTTTAATGTATAAACATTTAATTTGAATATTTAATTTTATGTTCTATTTATATCGTATTGGTATTTTTATAATTACAAAGTAATATGATAAAAAATATATAAAACTATAAAACGTCAATTTATTCAAACGTAACGTAATAGACGTTATTTATGTAGTACTATAATATATATTTGTCAAACATCAAATGTTCATACTTGAAGTATGTAACATAAAAAAGGTTATTTAATATCCAAAAATTTCCATAACACTTCAATGAAGCGAAAATTAATCAACGCTGGCTACGAAAGTTGTCGTAACCGATCCCCAGTGCACTCTCAACAATTTTAACCATAACATAATACCTTCGGTAAATGAAAAAAAAAGAGTAGCTACACCACAACCCTACCACGTGCAGTCTTTTGTAAAGGGGAGAATAAAATCTTAACTTTTTTGCCCCTCGTCCCCACACGGGTAAGGTTACAAATGGAACTTTGTATAGAACTTTACGTATCAAAAGCTTTCAACACTAACGGTCACTTGCTTTGTTAACGTCCAGAGTTTTATCAAATTGTTTCTTAAATTTTTTGTCATTGTAAACATTCAATTTTTTTAAATAAGTTTGTGGCGAAATAAATATTTAGATTTTTTTAAAATTAATTTAACTAATGATAGTTTCGAAGTCCACTCCTGAGAATATACGATCTATGATTTTTATTTTCATTTTTCGCCATCTCCAAGTATTCCAACATGAGAAACATAAAATCAGTAAGTCTGAACAAATGATAAAAAATATAATTACTTTTTATTACGATCACAGTCTGTCAGTTCAATGTGATTGAATATAAAGGCATATCCAGACAGCAGTAACATACATGTTCGTGTGTGTGGAGCGTGCATAACACACGCCAGGACTCCCCGCATTGTTGACTTCGGTTTAGGGGATTTTGTGACGTCAATTATGTATGAATATGTCGGACTTTATTGTGTTGTTTGAATGTACAACGCGTGTATCAGTAACCCCTATTGTTCTATGGTAAATTAGATTCCGGACGCCGGCAGGAAAAATCTGATTGTTGCTCTTGAATTTAAATTCTTCTAGTGTTGTGCATGTAAAGAGTAAGTTTTGTGATAGGATTTTTTATTAATTTAATATTAAATAGTATATAAAATCAAGATTGATTACAAATATGCTTAGTTGCATAAAATTTTCGGCGTGACGTATCTAATAAAAACCAAATCAAATCAGTGACAATTAACTTTAATAACACGTCAACTTAATATTCCCTGTTACTTAAGCATTGTTAACCATGCCTATTAAAATGTATTCGTACAAATCACAGAGTAGTGTGGGGATCGTCAGGAAAACAATGGTGCGTGGATACGCGCGTAACTTCGTGCACAATGCATTCCGACGCATCGGCCTCGTGCCATGCGGGCGCTTGCCCAATGCCCATATTGACAAACCATGCCATACTGAAAGTGGCACCTACAGAATTAATACTTTGAACATTGATTTGTCTACGGAAAAGTTTTAACAACAATAATGATGATTTTAATATTAAATGTTACGTTAGAAAATATATATAATGGATTCTACTAGAAAATGTAGTATTACAATTTTGTTTTTTTATTTCCGTATCCATACATTTCATCTTTCATGGAAGTAACAATCAGTCTTTATCTAGTTTATGGCACACACATTAAGAATAATAGATGTAAGTTTGTGTAGAAAATCTTCTACAACTTTAGCAACGTTTTTTTTTTAATTTCACCTTATTTAAGCTTAAATTGAGATAACTAACTTACACGTCAATAAAACTTTAATTTAATCAAAATTATTCGCCAAAAATTATTTAGGGCGTGAGTGTACTATGGTTGCATAGCGCATACATACGCCCGTGGGCAACAGAACGCGCGTCGCTCATTTAGATAAGTGCATTGTGTAGAGTGGACGTGTGCCGCTAGTTTGTATGCGGCCGACACCAAAACAATCTTGATTGATTGTCTATTATGCGCTTAGGACTTAGGCGAAACAATACCATAGATTCGAATGTTTGTTTTTCATAAGCCGCATTAAATATAAAAAGTCGAATACAACCACGTTTTTATATTTGCTTTAATATACCAAGTTGAGACAATCGGGAAAATCAGTTCAACCTCAAGTAAAGCGCAAAACTTTAATATTAAATGTATTTTACGCAAAACTTAAATAATTGTTATAATGATTTTTCTACTTATGACCACTATTGCGGTTAGATTCAATTAACGTAACTCATCCGCTATCACTTATCATCAGCTAAGTCATGTCAGCGCGAACGTAAACCAAAACGTAAACAGCCCCTGACGGACATTTACTCGAGTAAATCCTGTAACGAGAGATCGCCTTACCACGCGCACACATCATGAGTCGTGCGTCCGAACACGCTCGAGAACGCACACAATCGTCTTGAGCGTGCGTCTTTACCCACATAAACAAGCTGATCTAGTGTATTTATGCACACGCACAAGCATACAAGGCGCGAGTATGGACGCGTGCGAGAACGCGCACACACGCACGCTTCTAATCGGCGCTTTCCTTCGCGTGGCGGGCGTGTGTGTAGCATCCCCGTTAAGGGGCGCAGGTGTTGGCTGGTGAATGACGCTGCCGTGGGAACTCGACACAACCCCGAGTTCCCATGGCCGCCGTCACCTGCCACCTGCCGTACTACGCATAATTCGCGCTCGTAAATGAACGGTAGTGACCACGTGTGTGAGTTGTTTTTTTTTCTTCGCATCCACTCTCGTCTCGGAGACGCGGAAGACCGGTGGGGCCCAATTAACTTTATCTTAATGACGACGATGCCTCATTGGCGATGTATCGAGGTGCGTTTATCGATTTCTCAATGCTAATCGATTAAGATGACTCGAATAGATGATTAGAATCTCTCGGGTATAATAGTCTGACCGCTCAATTATATTGGCGCCTGCGTTGCATTTGTTTTTGTTTCGTTAATTATATTTAAACTTAATGTACTATATTGAGTTCTAGATACTGTAATAATTAAGATACAGGACTTTTAGT